CAAGGCGACCCTTTATCCCCTTACCTATTCATACCGGTTGCGAACTTCCTGTTTATGATGATGAAGAAAGCTGTGCAAGACGGAACAATAAAAGGGATACAACTAAATAGAAACTGCCCTGTTCTCTCTCACCTTCTATTTGCAGATGATTCAATCTTCTTCCTAGATGGGAAGATACAAGAATGCCAGAATCTAGCGAGCGTCATCAACCAGTACTGTTTTGCTTCGGGACAAGCAGTCAACTTGAACAAGTCAGGTATATTCTTCAACAAGGACTGCCCTAGTGATCTAAGAAGGAACATGGCTAGAGAACTAAGAGTCCCGGAAATCGACAAAACAGGAAAGTACTTGGGAATACCCTCTGATTGGGGAGTTTCTAAAAAGCAAATGTTTGCTTGGATCCTGGGAAGGGTAAATATGAAGCTCGAAGGGTGGAAAGAAAATACAATGTCTAAAGCGGGGAAAGAAATCCTGATAAAAACGTTGTCCAAGCATTACCACAGTATGCCATGTCAATTTTCAAGATCCCAGTTTCAATATGTTGGGCAATTGAACAAAAAATTTTTGCATTCTGGTGGAAGAATCAACCCGCAACAAAAGGAGTTCACTGGAGGAAGGCCGAAGTCCTTAAACAGAGAAAAGACAGGGGAGGCCCTGGGTTTAAAGATTTAATATCGTTCAATAAGGCAATGTTGGGAAAACAAGCGTGGAAATTAGCACAAAACCATACAACTTTATCTAGTCAGGTATTAAAGGGCATCTACTACCCAACCAAAAGTTTCTGGAAGGCAGAGGAGGGTTCCAGACCATCATGGGGTTGGAAGAGCATACTCATGGGAAGAACTTCAATTGAAGACTCGGTTATGTGGTCAGTAGGGAATGGGAAGTGCATTAACATCAAGGAGGATAAGTGGCTTAAATGGGGAAGGATAGGGGGATCGTCTAATGCAGGGGACCCAAAAATGGTTGCTGAACTAATAAACGAAGAAGAGAACCACTGGAAGGAACTGGTCCTGCGTAGGGTACTCGATGAACAGATAGTGCGGGAAATCCTCTCAGTACAAATAAGACCACAGACGAATGTAGATAAGCTAATATGGACTGGCACGAAGGAAGGGGAGTACTCTGTCAAGAGCGGCTACAACATTATTCGCAAGAACGTAAATGTAGATACCCAGAGTGCATCCTCCTCTCATCAAACCCCAACTAAGCTCTGGAACAGAATATGGAAAATGAAAATTCCCCACAAGATCATAAACTTCATCTGGAGTGCGTGTCAGAATGCACTCCCGACGAAGGAAAATTTGTACAGAAGAAAGATGGTACCTGATCCAAACTGCCCATTCTGCAGATCGAATGCAGAGTCTCTAGAACATTTACTTCTCCTCTGTGAATGGACGAAGGAAGTCTGGGAAGCGCCTGCGCTAAATATCCAAAATTCCAAGTATCAAATCTCTAGAATTGACGACTGGCTGTTAGAATTCTTACCCAGTAAAAATAACAACTCACCTGACTTCGAGCTAGTCTCGATTGTGGTCTGGGAAATTTGGAAATCAAGGAACAGTCGTGTATTCAGAAACCACCTCCCGGACCCAAAATTGTTGGTCGATAGAGGACAACTATTGCTCAGGAATTACAGCAGATGGAACAACGTCAACAGGACAGGGGAAGCTCAAATTAGTGAAGGGAACGAAGTCTGGACCCCCCAGAAAGAGGAGAAATTAAGGTAAATATAGATGCTGCGCACCAACCTGGTTCTTAAGAACGATCGATAGCCTGTGTGTGCCGCAACTCATCTGGACTCTTGATCGATGGATTTGCGAAGGACGTCCTCGTCTCCTCCGCTCAGCAAGCAGAGTGTTTAGCCTTGGTGGAAACCCTCGATTTTCTCTCTTCTCGTGCGAGTGAACGAATAACTCTGGGGTCAGATTGCCTTTCGGTGGTCAACAGCGTGAAGTCTTCACAGTCTCTGCCATGGGAACTGCGTGCCCTGATCTGCGAAGCACGCAGGAAGCTTCCTTTATTTCCTTATTTAAAGCTGCAATATTGTAATAGGAACAGTAATAAAGTGGCGGACTGGGTAGCGAAGACCTTTAGGGAAAGAAAACTTACCGAACACTGGTTGACCCTCCTCCGCAAGCCCTTATTGAACTGCTTTGTTTTGAGACCCCGTTTCTGGGTTCCTCTGTTTCAAGATTTCAATGAAAAGCCTTTGTTCTGACCAAAAAAAAAAAAAGAATACCACCTCGTTTTTACATCCATAGAGAATTTTTCAACTTGCCTTCCCAGTTTTGTGTATTGGACCTCTAACTCTTGATGCCCCAGTGCGGTGGATCTAATGCGTTAAATACACTCACATATGTTGTACTGAAGTAACAAAAGACAAAAAATCAAAAAGGTAACAGTGTAGAATCTTCTACAAAAAAGAGTGAAGATAACACATCAAGCAGAGTATCCCCGAGTTAATCATTTTGAGATTTTTTCTAATTTGATTTTTATTCAATTTCCATGTAGATCAAATTGTTATCTTTTATCTTTAACTTTCATCGTAATTATAAGTGGTGATATGTCTATTTATACTCCAGAACGTATCAATGAAAAGTACGTTGCATCGACTCAATTCTTTGTTTGTTTTATGGTATCATAGCCACACAAGGGTACACTGATCTTTTCTTGTAAAAAAAATCGATACAATCATGTCCTCCTTCTTCAAACTTGAGATTTTCATATCCTTCAAACATCAATCTGGCAAATTTTGTTACATTGAAGCTCAATGAAAACAACTTTTCACTTTGGGAGATACTTGTATTGTCTTTAATTGAAAGTCATAACCTACTTGGTTTCCTTACCGAAGAGATAGTTGCGCCACCGCAAACTTGGACATTAGAAAATGCAGCCTAAGTCTATAATCCAGAATATATATCATGAGTGCGTAGTGACCACCTCATAAAATCTTAAATCATGAGCACACTCTCAGAAGAGGTTCTTAGACATGCTGTTGGACGTCAAACAAAAGAAGAAGAATGGAAAGCTCACACCGATCATTTCAAGCAAAGCTATATACAAATGGTTCACTTGACCAACTAAAAGCCTAACTTGTTGTAAAAAGCTCTCATCAAGAGGACGGCGTTGACTTCCGAGAAACTTTTAGTTTGGTAGTTAAACAAGCCACCATTTGCATTGTCCTATATGTTGCTATTGTTCAGAATTGAGAAATTCACCAATTTGATTTCAAGAATGCCTTCCTACACGGTGATCTCGATGTTCCTGTCTATATGGAACAACTACTGGGCTTCCGTGATTCATCTCGACCTGACCATATTTGCTTAATTTAGTGTGTGTTATATGGCCTCAAACAAGCTCCTAGGGCATGGTTCGACAAATTCAGCGACTTTCTTTTCTTATATGGATTTTCTACAGCACTACTGATCCACCACTCTTTGTTTATCGTCTCGTGGTCATATTATCATTCTATTGATCTATGTGGATGATATAGTCCTCAATGGTGATTCGCTTGAGTTATTAAACCATCTCGTGCATGCACTTGGTCAAGTGTTTTCCATGAAAGATGTGGGTGCTCTTCATTATTCTTTGGGCATTGAAGTCAATTGCTCCACCAATAGATTCACTCTCACAACAAAAAAATACCTTGGATATTTTAAGTTAAACATCAATGGTGCAATGTAAGCTGATTGCTACTCCAGTAGCTACTAAGCAGCCACCATGGTGATAAGCGCTATGCTGATCCATCTCATTTTCGAAGCATTGTAGGGTCTCTTCAGTACCTTACCCTTACTCGTCCTGATCTCTCGAAGCATAGTTTGTGAACATATGCATGCCCAATTTTTGCTCGCTATTAGATGGTAAAACGTATTCTCCGATATGTTTGTGGTACTTTACACTTTGGGCCTTGCGTTTTGTCACGTAGTTCTCTCAATTTATTTGGCTTTTCCGATGCAGGGCTATGGCTTCACAACTGCTGAACTCCCTTGGATTTCATACATACTACGTGATATTGGGATCTACCAACGTCAACCTTTGTTACTTTTCTCATACAACATGTCAGCATTACACAACTAATCCAAATTTCATGCTCAGACAAAGCACATTGAGATCGATTATCATTTTATTTGGGAAAAGATCGCTCTTGGTTCTATTGCAACTCACTATGTTCTATCTTCCTCACAAGTTGGTGATATTTTCACCAAACCATTGACTCGATATAGCTTTGTCAGTTTATGAATCAATCTCGGTCTCTAGTCCTCCCAATTGATCCGTTTGAAGGGGAGTATTGAAGTAACAAATCAAAAGACAAAAAAAACAGAATGGTTATAATGTGGAATCTTCTACAAATCAACGTAAAGATAATACATCAAATAGAGCATCCACAAGTTGATTATTTAAGGATTTTTTCTGGTTTGTTTTATATTCAATTTTCATGTGGATCAAATTATTATATTTTATTTTTAACTTTCACCATAATTAAATGTTGTGATATATCTATTTATACTATTGGGTGTATCAATGAAAAAGTATGCTTCATCGACTCAATTCTTTATTTTATTTAGGGTTAATACCATAAAAAAGCCCCAAACTAGTACACATGTAACAAATTTACCCCAAACTAATATTTTAACCACTAAAAACCCCAAACTGGTACATTTGTGACAAATTTACCCTCCGTTAGTTTCCGTTAAATTGAATTAAAAAAAAAATCACAAACTGTTACAACTGTGACAAATGGAGGGGTAAAATATAAAAATGGCACATCAGTAAACTATCATGTGTCATTTAACAAAACAATTTGACAGTAAAATTTAACGGAAACAAATTGAGGGTAAATTTATTACAAGTATACCGGTTTTGAGTTTTTGGTGGTCAAAATATTAGTTTGGAGTAAAATTATCACAGATGTACCAGTTTAAGGTTTTTTGTGGTATTAACCCTTTTATTTTATGTTGAACACAGAATCATAAAACTGGCGGAGAATGCCTGGGACGTACATGTCCACCAACTGGTCAATTCTTGGCAGTGGAAAACTATCCACAGGACAAGCCTTGTTGAGGTCGATGAAGTCCCCACATATACGCCATTTACCGTTCAACTTCTTTAACAGCACCACATTAGCTAATCATCCAGAATACATGACATTCTCACAAATCCCGCCTTCAACAATTTGCTGGTCTCCCCTTAATAAGCTGCTGACGCTCCAGCCTAAACGATCATTTTTTCTGTCTAACAGGCTTGTACTCTGGCGAGACGTTCAATCGGTGAGCCATGAACGGTAGGTCAATCCCGGGCATTTCTAATGGCTCCCAGGCAAAGACATCTGCATTACTTCATTGAAAATCAGTCATCTGTGTGGCCACAGTCAATGGCAAGTTCATCCCAATCCGTGTTGTTGTCTCAGGTACCTTGTCCTCAAGGCGCACATATACTGCCTCATCTCCTGGAGTGGGCCGACTGTAGATAAACGGATCTCTAGCATTCATTTCTGCTGTCATTGCTTGATCTAGAGATTTGCCCCTGGTTGCCACCATATAACATTGACAGACCATGGACTGATCGCCACGAACCTTCCCTACACCATTGTCTGTTTTGAACTCCATTAGGAAGTGATAGGTCGAGATGATAGTACGAATGGCATTAAGTGTTGGTCGCATGTTGATGCTGTGGCATGCGACGGGACATTAACCACCAAAAAGTCGGTATACATGTGAGCTTGCCTTGGGACCGACTCAATAGCAGCAGGAAGTCGGAGTAGGCCCTCTACCCTAACTGCCTCAACAGATAATCCATAAAAATGGGCCTTCATGCAGTCTTAATTGTTCCTGATGTCCACCTATCTTCTTAATAACATCTAGAGATAGGACATTTGCTGAGCTACCATTGTCGACAAAAAGGCGCCCAACCTCATACTCATCATGGGGAATCTGCGTACATTTCAGATTGTCGTCAGATGAGGTAATGTGAAACATGGAACGACATTTTTGGCTTGATGACCCACCAGTAATTGAAAATGTACACCCATGCCTGACGGGAGAGTGCCATCGAGTTTCACCGTCGGTCCTCTGCTTATGACCTCAACTCTATCATGTTTGCCTGATTGTCCTCCAAATGGGATTGTTTCCCCTCATTTCCTCCGCCAGTACGATTTCCATCTCTAGAGTGTGTTAGACCAAACTTTCTTCTCTTTACATACATTCATTATCATGTGGCCGTTGCGGATATGTTCTTGATTTGATTGTGCTGGTCATTGCACTCTTCGGTATTATGGCCATTGTCTTCATGAAAGTAGCAGGAGGAGCCTTCAGTTGACTAGGCCAATGGACGATTAATTCTTCATTCTGGATTGCCATCAAAATTCGTGTGAGTGATTTTGTTATCGGGTCCATCACCTCAGGCCTTCTTAACGGACTCGCCCTCTTTCTCTTATCTTGCCCAGATACCGATGGGATGGCCATGGTCAACATTGGCATTAGATCTGACATCTCTTCAGCATTGATGTACTTGGTTGCTCGGGCAAAAAACTAATAAGGAGTTGTCGAGCGCTTCTTGTTGATGGAGAATAAAAAGTGCGACTGTTGAAGGTTTGCAATGGCTGCAAGGAGAGTGGCTACAGGGGGAAGATTTGGGACTTTGATGGCAACCTCATTGAACTGCACAAGTATTCTCCGAGGGGCTCTCCAGATTTTTCCTTTGCAGCCAAAAAGGAACTTCCCATCTTTTGAAACTAACTATTGCTAGAAAAATGAGTCAAGAGCAAATTGGCCATCTGACGGAACGAGCTGACAGAGTGCGGTTAAAGGTTACTGTACAATATTCTCGCCGCCTTAGTCAAAGTGGCTGGAAAGGCGAGGCACACAATTGCGTCAGGAGTGGTATGCAGCATCATCATTTGCTTGGAAGGCCTCAAAATGATCGAGGCAATCTCACCAGCCATTGTAAGTGTTCAAATGAGGGAGTTTAAATCCCTTCGGTAGATTTGCCGTCGTTATGTCTTTGATAAAGGGGGATCATTATAACCAGAACTAACCCTCGACTGCTTTGGTTCATTAAGCCTCTAGAGAACATCCCCTATCTTATGCTCCATTTCGCTAAAACTGCGGTCTGACTCTTTGCTCTCCCTTTGAGCTAGATGCTTCCTCCCCAACACCAAGCTTCACTCCCCAAGCTCATTCTATCATCTATCGGGGCTTTTCTAGGAATTGCTAACCCAGGAGTCTGTCCCCGGTGCCCTCCATGAACGGCTGGCAGATCCTGATCGACCTTGCTTTCCAGTGAGTTAAATTGCCCATTAGTTACATAATTGCCTCTGCAGGCAGGAGCATACCCTGGTGGAGCGAAGGATTCATAATCATAGGATGGTTGTGGACGAGGATAGGGAGGATGTTGAAAATAGCCATATGGCCCAGGATATGGTGGTGCTTGTGGTATTGTCTTGAGAATGGTAGAGACATCTGTCCGTGAATGTCATGGTCGGTTTAGGCATTTAGGAAGAACTGGGAAAGCTGGGTTCGTCATCCAATTCTGGGAACAAAGCAAACAACAAGCAACAGAAGGAATGATTCTGGAAATTCCAGGTGAACACTACACAACTGTTGTTTCCACAGACGACGCCAAATCGTCAATGCTGAATTTGGATAACGACCATCCCGAGTGTGGTTCAGATCCTTTCAACGTACCTGAAATATAGAAATCGGGTCAAAGCGTCCGGGTTTAGGACCTAGATTGGTCATCTGATGATTAAGTCAGTATTTGGGAGAGGAAAAAGATATAAAATATACAATCTAGGATTAAGAGTCCAACCCCTTACCTGAATTAACTCCTTTACCTTATGTAGACATTTTTCTTAGTGCAGTGTCGGGTGTGGCTAACAAATGACAATTCTCAATTTAAGTGGACAGACTTCACTATTGAGGAAACTTGCAGTTCCCACAATAGGTAGTTCTCCATAATGGTCAAATGTTTTGTGGACCATTGCATGCGTGACATTTTAATCAGTGGAGGCACCGATATGATTGGCAATTAGACGGGGTTTAAGTGATGCTTAATCTAGACTCAACACGCTCAGGGTATGCTCGGTTCGAAGACGGTTAGGCCCCAACGGGTTGGTCTTGTTTCCTTGACACGCGGGATCCTTTGACAGGTCGTTAAAAAATTTCCTTATCAATTATAAAGGAAAAAACGCAATCGTGAGATGAGACGTCTGTTGCTTAGGTGCACTAAGAAGTAAGACTGATCAGATCGCCAATCGTCCAAATTTTATAGCATCAACTCATTAGCCCATATTGAACTTGAAACCCAATTGAGAAAGACAAGTCTAATGACAAAACTGGGTGGGCAACCACCCTTAAATACAAACTGATATATCAAAATGCTAATTCAGCTACATCATGCTTTCCCTCTTGAGATCATATCTCTGTCCTGCAATTGGACTCTGAAGTTAGATGAGTACTTGCTGAATCAGGGTTGAGTTGGTAGAAGTCAATTCGGAGAAACCCGCGGCAGTGGCATCTTTTTTGCTGGCCTCTCGGCGCAAGGACAACTCGAACTTGACCAGAAATATGCTGTTGCTATGCTGCTACTTGTATCCACTACCACCCGTTGTCTCGACTATGATTTGCAGTGTTCAAATAGATCAATGCTCTGCGGCAGATCCTCCCCACTTCTTCACGCGAGTTTCTGCCTCTTCAGCCTGCCAAAGAATGGGGTACATAAAACAGTTAATATTGAGTCAAGATTATCATGGGCACTATCTTGAAAAGGAAAATGTGCCAAGAACAAGGATCACCAACCTCTCTGTTCCAGTTGGTAATTGAAGTGATAACTATGAGGATTAGGGTCTGTAAACAAATGCCTCCAATCATACCTGACCAGATACCCTGCAAGCACAGAAGAAGAGGCACACATCAGAACGGAAAAGATGAGAAATTCGAATAGATCAAAACTAGAATGCGTGTTTCATTTGTTTTTTGGGTAATCACTGCATAATTGGCAGATTAATTATTTGGGTTATCGACATTACAAATTCCACTATGGGAATGATGACTCCATGCCAAAGACTATCCAAAAGCTTTCACAGGCATAATTGATGTAATTAAAATCACTCCAAGATGAATGGTCTTTGGAACATTACCTCGACCCCGAAACCAAATGTGAATCCGAGGAGTATGCCAGCAGGCAGTCCAACAATATAGTAGCATCCAATGTTGATGTATGCAACAATCCATTGCCATCCCGCTCCAACAGCGACACCTTCACAAGAAAAACCGAGAAGAAATCTGAGAAATCAGGGCAGACAAACCCGGTTTTGTATTATGAAAGAATAGGCTTCAATATTGAAATTTACACATATCACTACATGCTACTTGTTGTAATGACCATGCATTTTGCACCCACAATGAAAATTCGCAGAATCAAAAGGAAAATAAATCTAAATTATCTACATCACCAGAATTCTTAATGAGAGGATGCGATAGATGCAAGGAGAATGGTTCTCTAGATCCTCACCAGACAAGACGGGTTGGAGACTGTTTAGGAGAACAGTGATACCAAGCAAGACAGCCAGTTTTGTGGTTTCAGCAGCAACCTCATCACTTGTCGTGAAGAGGTAAGGGAAAACATATCTCGTCGCAAACACCACAGCCATGCACACCACCCCAATGGACACAGAGGTGACGGAAACCACCCATACAGCCAATCTCGCTGCTTTGGCATTGCCGGCTCCAAGCTCATTTGATACTCTCACACTGTCAACATTCACATGGTCAGTCAGTCACACACAATATTGTTGCTCTCAAATGAGCTACTAGTGACTCGGATCTCTACAGAAAGCCGAATAATAAAAAAGAGCAGAGAAGAGCATTGCACCTAATCGCAGCATTGAATCCAAGTGCAATCATCGCATCCCATCCTTGAATGTTCATGCTGCATAAGAGGATCAATCAATTAAGGAAATTGTCCTAAGAGAAGATAAAACAATTTTATCATTGGTCCTACATATTGGTGCATGCAACCATTTTAGTTCCCAACTTGGCTATAAATTCACACTAAAAAGACAAGAAATAAATCGCTAAGCAACGTACCAAATAGAAATGGCATCAACTGGGATCAGGGGATTTGGCAATCGTCCTGTAATCACCACCAGGATCATCAAGTACCAAAACTCCAAGCTGCCAGAAAAATTTCAACCGCATAAATCACATCATTTCTTTATGGCACTTTCCCACTCGGTCAGTGAGAGAGTAGTGAAGAGAATTAAACATACCACAACATCACAGCGGAGGCCAGAGAAAGCTTGACAAATCCCCATAAGTCGGCAAACGCCAGCCATGAGAATCCACCCCAAGCGCCATCTGATTTGGTGATGAAAATGTACAGCAGTTGGCCAATAATGATGAGCCACCATGACGTGTTCAGGGTTATTGCTGCTCCGACCAAGCCGTATCCGAGCTTAAGTATGAACAGCCAGCTAGCTACCGCATGTATCACCAGTACTATGGCTGAGATCCAAGCCATCACCATGACCTTCCGTTGCGCTTGTAAGAATTTCTGGATTGGAAAATTCAGCGCATATGCAAACAACTGCGGAAGCATCCACAAAGCAAATTTGCCTGAATGGAAACATAAACATGGTCATCAACTAAAGTCAATCAGCTGCACAATATGTACTTTACTTTCTTCAAAATGCAAAGAGAAGGTTTATATTGCGTTGCCACGAGATTATTTCAGGTTAAGTCTGTCAATGATTGGAGCGGGGCTTAACCTTGAAATTTTTTTGAATGTGACCTGAACAGTGTGTATGTGTCCTCCCACTTCAGTAGTATAAATTTTTAAATCAATCATATGATTTCACTTCTAGTTCGAACAACTCAGTGATATTTAAAGACGATCACCATTCACCGACTACACGGAGCACACTACCAAATGAGAGAGATTCCAAGTTTGAACCTCACACACCCAGCTCAACAATCGATCCGTCCTACAAATGACGCTCTTTCTGTTTCTCCATTGATGCCAGGTGGAGAAGTGGCCCATTATGCCAAGATTGTTCGACCTGTTCATGCTTACCCGAAAGAATGAAGAGCCACTATGACTGACCAGCATTATCCGCGCATGCGATACGGATTA